GTTTCTTGGCTGGCCAGGGAACAGCTTCGGATTTCCCCAGAGGAGCTGGCCCAAGTGGCTGGGGAGAGGGAAGTCTGAGCGTCTCAGCTTAGACTGTTGCCCCCGCTACCCGACCCCAGATAAGCGAACAATAATGGATGGATGGATGGATGGATGGATGGATGGATGGATGGATGGATGGATTGATAAGTCTGACACACCATTTGAGTGTCATTTAGATCTGTTGTATTTATAAAGGATAGCTAAAAAGGCTTTGTGATTCTAGTTCTGATTCTAAACATAAAATCCACTGTGGCCAAACTGCCTCAGTTTATCTGACAATAAAGTTTAACCTTAGATGCCTTTTTATGTAGCCTAGAAATCTAGACAGACAATAGTTGAAGTAAAATGATTTTGCTCTGCGTGTCAGTCTAGCCACGCTCCATGGTAGCCTCTGCAGTCTACCATTGGCCTGAGCAGCATTGCGTTATGCCAATCACAGCCTTCTATCAGTTTGGTGAGTGGGATGACGAGACAGAGTGGAAAACTAAGATGGCGATGGCCTGTTTGAAACAGTTTTGGCATCAACATTGGACTGTTTAGACATGGGCTTTTTTGAGTCAAGAGCAGATAGAGGAACTTAAGGCCTTTATTTTAAAAAAGGACATATTTGCGTCTTCTTCAGCAGTGTATGGCAGACTGCCACATCGACTGAAATCCATATTGTTGAGTAAATCTAGGTGTCTGTTGTCCAATAGCGTGCAGAGCATGATTCTGCCCACTTCACTGAGCTCTGTATATGGGTTGTGGCCAGAGTACACATTCACATATCCAGGATGGTTTGCCAGGCTATTTTTTATAATCACACCCACCTCAATGTAAAGGCTCAAAAAATTATTTGAGTGAACTCATATGACATTACCAACACCACTTTCATCTTGGCTCCAGCCATTAGCTTGTCAATCAAATCAGATCCAATCTTCACTTTTAGAAACTAGAGACAACAACAGGTAAAAGAATAAATGTAAAATTTCAGAGCCTGGCTTCAGAAGATCAGAACTGTCCCTTTGAACTCTGAGTCTGCTATGTCTAACCATTTAGAGCTGAGATCCTGAACTATTCAAAGTGCTTCACTCTCATTGAAACTGGAGTAAGAAAATAATTTTTGTCAAGATGCGTGTGTATTGAGAACAGGGAGATCATTTTAAAGGCTCTCCAGGTAAAAATAACACTGTCAGGCACCGTTATGGGCAAAGAACTAGGCACTTGGGGCAATAATTCCAAAGTCAACATGCTGCGTCTCAGTCCTCAGGAATTTTTCATGAGCCACCACTTATCTTGTCATATCACATTTCTTCCACCAGCATTTTCAGGGAAAATAGAAAAGACACCTTTAGGGCAAATTATTCTCTTTTAATCAAATCACTCTGTATGGCCTGAGGATATCTTTCTGTCCCTTTTTTTTTTGACTCCCTGAGGCATGGGCAATAGACAGACAACACACAAAAAAGGGAAAAAAATGCTCACAATCACACAAACAAATGTTCTCAGAGTCCCAGCCATTCACCTGAAAGCTACAAAAATAGAGCTTATAAGGAAATATCAAACATAAAAAGGATAAAAAGGGGAGCAAAAGTAGTGTCTGGAGTTTCCATCACAAGTAAAATCCCAGATTTTCTCACTCACTGCTCATGGAACTAAATTGAACAACTTTATTCTGGACTACAGTTTATGCAGGCAGGAGCTATAAAATATAAATTACATCACATAACCCTATACGTCCCAGCTGAGCCATTTGGTTACAACTAAACTCCTGTTCGCTGCAGCTCCAGCTTCCCTGGTATTTCTAGAGCATCGACATGAATTATTTTCTAGCGCTGTTGAGGAGCGTATGGATTACAAGTGAAATGTAACTTCCCTACTGATTGGACAGTTGCCACCCGGTGACGCTGAAGTGTTTATTTTACACAGTTGCCTGTAATTAGTTCTGGACAGAATCAATTAAAGCCACACCAAATACAGCTGAAAACATTAAGACTTATGACCGTGTCTCAGACGACGGGAGGAAAAAAAGCATTAGGCGTGAATTTTTAAAGGCTGAGTTGTGCAAAAATGTGTCCTTAAATAAAGACAGAGTGGCTGCTGGAGTGCTGCACTCACGGTTTTAGCTTTTCCTTTTTCCTGATTTCTTTATTTCTAAGGAAAATGTCTGGATTAACATGTAAAGCGAAGCCTGTAGGGGGAAAAAGGGCCATGCCGATTCAACACATCTAAGAACAAGTATCAGATTAGAGTTTATGCACCGCTGATTTGAGTCTGATCTTATCTGCAAGTGTGATTTCTCTTTTTAACACAGACAAATCAACCTGTGTCATGACACCAACACATCTAAAACATTAGTGTTGTAAAAGCTGTTGAATTTGCTCCGTATGTCTTTTATTTTAAGTGAAAATCCTTCAAACGATGACTTTCAGGGTAAGATTTGGTTCAGTTGAATTTATGCAGCAAAAGTTTTCCTTTTAAATGCAATAACGTCTCTTAGATGTGTATTGTTTTAAGTGGAGTGTGTCTCACACTACGCCCCTAAATAAATTGAGTCCAATTTGTTTGAACATTTCACTGTGTCTCTTTGCAGCTTCCAGCTTAAGTTACAGAGCCTGCTCAAAGATTTTTCTGGTAGAAACTCTACACACACACACACACAAACACACACACACACACACACCTTTTTCAAAATATTACATTTTCTGTCACTGCCAAGACACACTATCAGCCACACCAGATATTGTTGAAGCCGAGGACAGACGGAGCACACCAGCAAAGCTATGATCCACCTCTGGATAAATAAAAACACTGAAGGAATTTGACTGAATCACTGGAAGAGGGAAAAAGTGCTCTCTCGGCCTACATGTTAGCTTGAGTGAAAGCACGTATTCACTTAAGCTGAAATCAATTTTGTTTACTTTTTTCTTTCCTCTTACGCTGCGCTTTTATGTCCTTTTCACCTGTTTGGCTCTAAATTTAGGTACCAAACTTTAGCGCCTAATTACAGCAACTGCATGGGAATACAGGAATGGGAAGTTTGTGTGATTATTTTTCTTAATTTAAAAGAAAATATAGAAATAACGGCAGTATGTACCCAAAGGCGCCAAATGGTTTATCGATAATGCCTTTATGGTGCTCATTCTTTTGTAAGAGAGAGGCTGAGAAAGTAAAAAGCAAAAAGTGGAAACAGAGCAGATGAAGTAGAAAGGTCCATGTGTGTGTGTGTGTGTGTGTGTGTGTGTGTGTGTGCGTGCGTGCGTGCGTGCGTGCGTGTGTGTGTGTGTGTGATGGCTGGGTGGGATGTGGGTGAGGTGGGTGTTTCACGGTGTGAGCAGTAATCAGAGGAAGGCAGCAGGGGGGACAGGGAGGGTTGGTGGGGTCAGAACAGAGCACCACTAAGCAGACCTTCTCTTCATTAGCAGCCTCTCTAAGGGGGGCGTCACAGGCCTACCTGTCCAGCAGATTATTGAACCGACTAACCAGTGGCTCCCACCCCTTCTCTCTCTCTCTCTCTCTCTCTCTCTCTCTCTCTCTCTCTCTCTCTCTCTCTCTCTCTCTCTCTCTCTCTCTCTCTCTCACACACACACACACACACACAAACACACACACACACATACACACACACACACACTCACACACGTTCTCTTCTCTGATTCTCACAGACCCAGAGGAATCACGACCTAGCAGCAAACCTCGCTGACAACTTTAACTTTTTGTCTTAACCTCACGTAGCAGCACCACGGCCATCTACTAGCTGCACAACGACATTTATTACAACACAATCACTATTATCGGGTTTACTTTGCTTCCTTTATTCAATTTTTATTTCTAGATTACACTTTCACTCAGGGATTCACAATAGATTTGGCAAAAAAATATTAAAGGGGTGCTGCTCTGATCCCTGTCACACAGACAGCAGCACGGAGAGCAAGGTAATGAAATGACACTCAAGGAATGTAAATACAAATTCTTTAGTGTAGCAGCAGCAGCACCAGCCCCACACACACACACACACACACACACACACACATACACACACACACACACACACACACACACACACACATATATATATATACAGGCTGGAACATTCTCACACACCTCTCAGACCAAATAAGTAAAAAAAAGTAGAGGGAAGTTTTTGGTGCTTGATCAGTTTACCTCAGTTCGTCTTTCTGTGCTTTACACTCCCTTCAGAGGTGTTTAACATTTTACACACATGTGAAATATACCTGTGTGTGTGTGTGTGTGTGTGTGTGTGTGTGTGTGTGTGTGTGTGTGTGTGTGTGTGTGTGTGTGTGTGTGTGTGTGTGTGTGTGTGTGTGTTCCTCATATCAGTGTTTTGCAGTCACTTGCTGGACATGAACAAGTCTTTTCTTTAGATTTGTGTCCCATTGTACTTTGTTTCCAGACAAATTAAAGCAAAGCAGAAGGAGAGATTCTGCATGGGTTTTTCTCTTTTGGCCCGACAAATAACTTTTTTATAACTGCCAGCAGTTAAATTGCTCACTCTGCTTTAAGTATGCAAACATTTGCATCAGCCTCACCAACGCGTCAGTGCAATGAATGATAATATGAAGGCTTATGCTGACAAGAATGTTAGCAGGACCATTGCATAAATGTAAAGTTGCACAACCAGTGGAGTGTTTGGAGGAAACAAGTTACCTCCCATTCACTCACTGAAAACTTGTTGAATTGTCTAAAAAAGCTTCTGTGAGGAATTCAAATTTTAAACATGAGAAATTCATATAATGTTCTTTTTTATTATTTAAATGATAAAGTTCAGATTATGGCTTTCTTCTTCTTAATGCAATGAAGGTAAAGTCAAATAAAGCGTGAAGTTTAATAAACTCAACTGTGTGAGTGAGTTGAGCTAAGAACAAATGAATAAATTGAACTTTTTGACATCACATGACACAATTCTGCAGTTTGATTCACTTCAGCAAACAAAGAAAGAGCATGGAAATCATAATTACCATTGCTGCATGTTGTTTCTGACAGACCCCGGAGATCCTGGCACTTTTCAAAGTTGGTGTCGTCAAAAAAGTCGGATTTCGCCCTCAAGTGGGGAACTTTTTGGTCTTTCAGTCCTGCTGAGTGTTTCTCTGCTCTTTAGCTCAGAAAACTCTGCGCTGATGTTTCTAACAGTTTTTAGTGCGACACGTTAGGCGTGAAAAGGCACTTTTATGTCAGTGTTTACGTCTTTGTGATGTGTTTATTATTACTGTTATTCCGAAGGAGTCGCAGAATCACGGCGGAGGTAAAAACGCGCGTCGGTTGGAGACGCGTTTCGGAGCGGATCCACACGGAACTCCTGCCCCTTAAAAAAAGACACAAATAAATTCAGACAAATACTTGAAATGACTGAACGTTAGAAGCTGGGCTTGGGGTGTTTGTCCTACCTGGAGGAGTTAGCTGAGAAATTTAGACTTCCACGGTGATTTCCTTCTGCAGAGTCAGCACGGTGCGCCGAGGAGCTGCGGAGGGTCGGTGGCTGCTGCTGCTGCTGCTGCGGTGGAAAAAAGTTGGGTGAATTCAGCCCAGAGCTTCGTGTGTCACTCTAACCTAAGTGACTGTGGGTCCAGAGGAGTTAGTGCTGCAGATGAGCTGATTTACGACGTCTTGTCTGCATGAGGAGTCGCATATTCCTGTAAAGGAAAACGTGTCCAAAATCCTTAGCCCCAAGACAAGAAAGCGCCACAGAGAGGCTTGTGCAACACTACAGAAGCAAGTATTTACTGGTTTGTTTGCAGTGTGCATTTAGCTGAAATCACTTCGTTTTATTACCAAATAACACAAAGAATAATAAATACCTCAAAAATGTAATTAATGAAACAAAACACACCTTAAGTCAGATTTTAGTGCACCAACCAGAATCGTGTCTGCACACTTTTTATGGCTCTTTATGCCAAAACTTTGACCTATTGAAAAGATTCCTCAGACAGCAGAGACGTGACACTCATTCATCAGCTGTCCCTCTCCAACCCCTCTCACAACTTAGTTTATTAAAGTTACGCACTTGTTTTCTTTTTCATTAAGATTTGCTCAACTTTTGACAGAGGCGCGTCTCCAGAGTGCAGAACAGAAAGAGTGTGGGTACTTATATAGTGTGTGTGTGTGTGTGTGTGTGTGTGTGTGTGTGTGTGTGTGTGTGTGTGTGTGTGTGTGTGTGTGTGTGTGTGTGTGTGTGTGTGTGTGTGTGTTAGGGTAAACTATCTCTCTGAAGAGTGCCTGCCCGCCATCCCGGCGTCTGAATCCCAGGACAGTCGTTTCTATCATGTCAAGCGTCTGGAAGCCCCACTTGCATGTTTGGTCAAGGGGTAAATAATAGATCAGGGATTAGGCTTGTGTAGATTTCATTCCAGAGCAGGGCCGGATTAACCATATGGGCAACTGCTGCCCAGGGGTCCACAAACCCTAGAGGGCCCAGGGCAGCAAGGGCACGAGCAAAATACTGTATCTGTAATCTCCCACTTTTTATTAAACTATACCAGACGTCTCCTTTCCCCGGACATGTCCACTTTACAATCTCTGTCTGGGCGCCCGGTGTGTGTGTGGGGGGTTGTATTGATGAAAATGTCCGGTTTTTCATCCAGGAGCATTACGGGGGAGCTGGATATCCTGCACATCCAGGGGAGCCGGAAATAGTTTTCTACCTATATTACATAATTCATGGACTCTTTTGAGCAGAGAGCAGCAGAGCGATGATCGGTGCGCAGCACCCCAGGCTGCTGCGTCCAGCGCACGGTCCATTCTCAAAGTGGCGCAACCAAAAAACTATAATTAACACACGGTCGTTCATGTCCGCACATGTTCTCTACTTTCTGTCTTATTTGTGCCTGAAGCCCTCTGCCACTGTGGAGCTCATCACCTGTGCTGCGGTGATTTCACTTCACTGACGCAGCATCGAAACGCGCACTCCACTTTACGGTCAGGAGATCCCTTTGATCTGCTCAAAAGTAACAGATGAGGTGAGAATCCAGGCAGCAGTTTTTCTGGAGAGTTTAGAGGAGATGCAGGAAGATGAGAGACAGAGAGGACAGGAAAACAGTTAAATAAAAACAAGAAAACAAAGTAAAATGTAGGTAGATTTATCTCTACTACACGTTTTTACCTGTATAAAACAATAAGTTTATACGTCTGATATAATTCAGATCACCTTCAAAACTCAGTCACACACCCAGGGCTGTTTCAAGGCATTTTGGGGGCCAAGGCTAAATAGAACCCCCCCCCCCCCCCCCCCCTCAATAACTGGGCTCCCCAGAAGCCTCTGTGTAATTCATGCCCTCTCCAGTAGTGTTAGTTATACAGTGTTTATAAAAGCCCCTCAGACATCACTGACATGTTCTAATATTTTCAGATGAAAAACTAAATTATCAGACATGCTGTCTCATCTGCTGCTTTTCTAAACTTGCAAAAAGTAACAAAACCATTTGAAAGCCACTATTTGTGGATTCTCTGAAAGTTTCCATGGAGTCTGTAACAACTTATTTTTTCATTGATCCTATCGTCTAATCTCACAGCTGAAACAAGCATCCTTAATAATCTGTGCACAGGAAGCGTACCGATGCTGTAGTAAAACTAAAGGTATAATAATTTATTATTAATAAAACCTTGTTGCAGCACTAAAGCAGAAAATGACATTTTGCAATAAATATGCAAAATATTTACACATGAATTGTTTTAGAGCCCTTTATTGGCAGAACCTGATATTAATTTAGTTCTTACAAAAAATGGGTCCCAGCGTGGATTGTGTGGCGTTGCCATAGTGTGACATCATGGGCACAGATCCCCTGTCCTCTTTTTTGGAAATCGAAATATGATCACCCTGTATTAAACAAACTGTCCATCCGGGCTTTAGCACTGCACAGAGACGCTTCGCTGCCTACGACTTTGAACGTCAGTTGAGAGTCAGTCTCTTGCAGACTGACCATTGAAGAGAGGGCCTCAAGTTAAGAACCTCTCCTCATTGGTCAATCCACACGAGGTAGGTCAAAGGTTACCCTGAGTGGGTTACGTGATGTCAGGCATTCAAGTATTGAGTATATTTACTGCATATTACAGTAAAATATTCTGTATGTGACCATATTATGGTGATCCTTGGGTCGTGATGATGGGGCCCTTTAACATTGTTGCCCAGGGTACGACAAAGTGTTAATCTGGACCTGTTTCAGAGTAACTAATTCCCAGGATGTGCATATTCATTCCCTAGCCAAGGCAGTGGGTGAGCCAGGACCCTATACGCCTATTTGTCAGAGAGCTGGTGCCTATCTCCAGCGGTCAATGGGCAATCAGGCGGAGTACACCTGGACAGAGAGCCAGTCCATCGCAGGGTGAAAAGAAATGTAAAAGTATAAATTTAAAAATGGTAATAAGACAAGTCTAAACTATAAAATTAAATATAAAGTAAACATAATATAAATGTAAACAGTCAAGATGTTAACAGCAACACTGAGACCAGTTTTTTTTTTGTCTTTTTATAACTATAGCCATTTATGATGCTTTTTAATGATAGTGGCTATATTAGTGGTGAAGGTCAGTGAACAAGTTTTATTAAGCTTTCACCAGCTCGCCACCCAGCATACGTAGGTGGGATTAATATTAAATATATATGGGCAAGCCACATGGATCATGTGATATCCATGGTTTCCATTGTGGCCCCACGTAGATTTTAATTTTATGATTTCAGAGGAATCCAGGTAATTTGACTCGTACATGGGCCAGTTCAAATCTTTGTGGGCTAATACGTGTGGGGCCACCATGGAAACCACGGACAGAACCTTTTCAGACCCATTCAGTTTCCCATACATATCCCATATGGAGCCAACATACTGTATGTACGCTGCCACTGCAACGTCTTCTGCCTTTGCACAGTTCTTCTTCTGCAACATCCACCTCATGATAACTACGATATCTCCCTGAGCAATCATGCAAATAATCTGTACAGGACACATATTTCTAGGGAGCCAGAACTAAAATAAAGATAAATTTTTATTGATTTCATGATCTAATATAGTAAGCAGGGCCAAGACCAACATTAGTTAAAGCTGGTGAAAAAAAACTCATGTCTCATTGATGCGTTCAGTGTTTTTTCCTGTGTTTTGTGGTAATTTACCCATAATTGAATGGTTATTTATTTATTTACTTTGTTAGTTTACATCAGGAGTGGGGAACCCTGGTCCTCGAGGGCCGGTGTCCTGCATGTCTTTGCTCCAACCCTTCTGCTTCAGTGGTTGATTCACCTGTTCTGCAGCTTTTCAGGCTCTGCAGAAGCTTGTTAATCACCTACTGATTAAAATCAGGTGGGATGATGCAGGATTGAAACTAAAATATGCTGGATAGTGGCCCTTGATGGACCAGGGTCCCCCACCCCTGGTTTACATTATCATTGAAATAATTGTTTTGACCAATAGTGTTTTGGGATTGTTTTTCTTTGTCTTCTAGTTTGTTTTTTTCCTACGAAGCTGGGGTAATTAAGGTTGTAAGCATTAATTAATTCTCTCCATTTATTAAATCACACACACACACACACACACACACACACACACACACACACACGCGCACACACACACACACACACACACACACACACACACACACACACACACACACACACACAAATCTGTTCTCTGAGTTTGGTAAAATAAACAGATGTGAACACAGAGCTGCAGGTTATTCAATCATGGCTCAGTCCCAAAATGGTGAAACAAAGGCTTGAGTCTTTCATGAAAATATGTATTTTGAAATGAAAGAAATACATTTTAAGACAATTAATGATATTTATTGATGTGCTAAATGTTTAAGACTAATATTTAATGTGGACAGCAATGAATGTAAATGTTGTCTAGTCATTTGTTTGTACGTTGTTAATAAAGTTTTTTATTTGTAAGTAGCACAGGGACCGGCATCCGGTGATGCAATGATACTTGTCCCAATTCAGCGATTATTCACACACTTGTGTACTGTGTACTAAAAGCCTTACTGCACAGTCTTCCCAGTGCACTTCACAGAAGACGCGTAGTGTGAGCTTTGGGATTGGGCCCATGTTGGACAGATATTCAGTATTATAATGTCAAACCTAAAAGGTAATTAAAACACAAACCGTGTCTGTTTCTTATTGTGGTGAGCTAATTATAACTCTACATGATCATTTTGACCAGAATTTGTTTTAATTTTATTGGAACAAATCTCAACAGTCTCAAAGAGCAGCCACTGCTGAGAGGAGTGTCCAGGGACCGTCTGCAAAGTGCAACACCTGCATCAACAACTTTCTGAAAATTAATTCTGGCTGATCCTGTAGACACTAAATTCACAGGAGAAAAAAAATGCCCTCCTTTTGATCATGAAGCAGTGTTGAGAAAAAAAATGGAGGGGGTTTTAATTTAGGGTGTATGAGAGTGGGAAGTTACAAAATAATTTCTACAAACAGTAGTATCACCATAGTCACCTCAAATGTGTGTGGGTTCTAATTAATTACTCTAATTAATTATTAATGATAATGGAAATATTATGAAATGTACGAACAACAATGTTTAGTCCTACCCAAAAGACCTCAGACATCACTGGACTACTGCTGACTTTGTTAATTATTTTAAAAGTTTGTTGTCCATTTCATTTCAGCCCATGCTCAGCTGGAAGGTGTTCCAGAGAACACATCTAGCGCATGAACCACATTTTGCCCATGTGTCCTTTAGCGTCAA